GGTCTTTTCCAACTTTAATGATTCTGTGAACAGTATAGTATGTCCAGGGGCTTGGGACATTTTACACAAACATGCATCTTCCATTGCTCCAAATTACTTCCAAATTTACCATGCCAACTAAAGCAGATAGAGGATCCTTTGTGGTATGCTATACACAGCTGCTCCTTTCAAGCACAGCAACACATTCTGCAGCGTAACAAGCAGCCAGCAGAAGTCAGCTAGGTGCTTAGACCCGTTTTCCCAAGCCTGCTCACCAGCTACAGCAGCCAGGGTTTTGCACTTACGTGTCCACATGCTCGGCAGTGGTGCCTTCTCCTTGTCAGTGCATTAAAGGGCTCCTTGCATTTCATGCACATGGTTACTTCGTTGTCTCGTATCCACCTTGGTGCTCTCTTCCCAAGCTCAGCGTTCTGAAGGGGAGGCGGGGGGAGAATGAGAGAATAAAAAAAGCCAGTATAAAAAGTTGTGCAGTACTTTAAATAGCAAAAATAATTATCCTCTTCCTCTAGAAAGGAAATGGCAAAACACAGCTCAAGATGCATTTTGAAATCTACACAAGAAATAACAAAGAACCCAGTCAAAAATCATTATGCATCACTGAAAGGGTACCCTGTTATGCATTCCAAGGAAAAAAAAAAAAAAAGAAAAGAAGAGGCTTGTTTATAAGATTTGGCATTATGGAAAAAAAAAACAATTACCAACAAGTTGACTACTTTGTAATTCCTCTGCTGTATGAATGATGAGCTTGAAAACAAAGTTTCTGCCAAACATTTTACACTTATTGAAGAATAAAATGGGTACTAAGAAGGTTACAAAGGAATAACAGCAACTTACAGAAACCTCGACAGGTGTGTCTTCATATTCTTTAGCAATAGCATTTCTGAAAGTTTCATTCCTCTGCTGAAAAGCTTCTATAGTATTCTGAAGCGCCTAAGGAAACAGTGAAGAAATTCCTCAAACATATTACATATAAAAAGGACTGTCTGCATTCTGGCCAGAATCAGAGGGAAGCTACAGCCAGAAGATATGAATATTACTTTTTTGAGTGCTTCAGTGAAAAAGTCTTTAGTAAATAAAGAATGTAGATGAATTTACCTTTATCCATTCTTCCTTATCTTGTTCAGAACTAAAAGAAATATTTGACACATTAGTCCAAAACTAGTTCAGGAAACATTCTCTCACTATCAACAACCTCTTGCAAAAGCCAAGTAGTAAGCAATTATCAGGAATTTAAATTTAAACAATACTGTTAACTGTCCAACTGAAAACAGAAAACAAAAGCATGACTTCAGGCTTCACACATTTGCACACCACTAAGCAGCGAATTCAAGTTGAAAGATAAATGTAAATGCATTTAAAAGTAGTAATAGTATTTGTATTGTTAAACTTTTTTGTTTTAAATAACAGGATACAGAGGAAAAGAGGATGATGCAAAGTTTATCTTATTAAAGTGATGCAGGTGGTTTTTTCTCCTCTCATTTCATGCGCTACTAAGTTCACATACTAACACACATTTCTCTCGTGTATCTCTTAAATCGTCCTCCCTCCCCCAAAAAAGTGATTTCCTCAATGCTTTTTTTTGTCGTTGCTGTTGTTTAAACCTGTATACAGTGGCAAGAAGAGTATGCCATTAAACAAAAGGAAGCTGAATCTTCCAAAAGATACCTGGGACTGAGGGAAAACAAGTAGACTTGGAAACTGGCCTGAGGAATAAAGGAAAGCAGGTGCCCACCTACCGCTGTAGAAAACTCTGTTCTGTGGACATAAACCCACCAGGGCAGAGAGTTTTGCTGGGTGAACGTGCCCTGAGGTGAACAGACCGATTTGTACCAAGGTGGCTCAGGTACCACAGGCAGCAGCACTGCCCCAAGATTAACACGCTCAGTGTCCCAAAACGCTTGATGTCAGACAGATTGCCTTTGCACCAGTTGGGTACGCTGCTTTCCATTTTCCAGCCAGCCCATTCACAGCTATCTTGGGTATTTCTGCAAAGTAGGTAATGCACTATATACTGCAGATGCATCTTCTTAAGAGATTCTGGGGCTGATAATGTATGTTTTTGGCAGCCTAGGCTATTTTCAAAACACTGATACTAAGATGAAGCCCATTACATCTTACTCCAAATCTCTTGTGTGTATATTTAATCCTCCAAAAATTAGATAAAAAGACTTTGCTTACCTGGCCTGCAACTCCAGCGTCCGCTCTTTTCCAGAGACTTGAAAAGTGTGTGGATATTCTTCATTATGAGTTTCTATAATCTTCATACCATCTATGCCAACTCTGGTTCGAACCGAGAATTTTGATCCTACCAAGCTGAATTTGGGGACGCAGTAGAGCAACATATTGTTAAACTGGGGAAAAAATAAACACAGGGCTTTGCTTTAACAAAACCAGAGATGCAGAGATCTGAGACAATATCACAAAGCTGGACTCAGTGGGTGAGAAAGCAGGTTCTTTCCTGCTCAGCTGATGTACGAGAAGACCAAAGCTCTCATGAAAGACAACCATCTCTTCTTATTTGTTTAGAAATAAGATTAAAGCCAGGTTCAGTGGATATAAGAATAATTGCTCTGTATATGCAGCAGTCTTCACAGCATTTATTAGCAACTATACTCAGACTGGGTATTTTATACCACTGTAAACCTTCTGTTGGAAAAAAAACATTCTTATGCCCAATTCTGCGAAAACTACTCAAAATGGCACAATAAGAACTCTTTTCTTCAGTGTATACATTTATATTTACCCTGTACGGAAAACATTAGGTTTTGTAGAAGTTGTAACTAATATTATTTGAGGACATTTTTTGTCTTTTCTCCAAGATAGAACAACATTTCTGTCTTACAGTTTTTACTCACTGAAACCCTCAATACCACAGGGAAAAAAAAACCCCCAACATGAACAGGACAAAGATATATTCCTTCATTAAAGATTAGAACTTTAAATAATGTTTAAATGTCTCAAGCCCCAGCCTAGAAGCACAGTTATTAGATCTATAGTGTTTAATTCTCTCACATTTTTTCCCTCACATTTTCTCACAATTAATTATTAAAAAGAGAAATTCATTTCAGTTAAATCGTATTTGACAGAAATCCTGTCTGGCCTATTGTCTAGTCTGTATCACAGATACAGCACACTTGGACTTGTCACCTTTCATATGAAGTGCACGTCACTTTAATCAGCTGTCTGGCCCCATTTGAGGCCTTTCTATTCAACAATTTCTCCTTCTGTTTGAAGCACAGATAAGTAGGAGTTGTGCCTCAACAACTTATTACTGGTCTTTATTAACCAAAAGGACATGCATTATAAGGCCCACAAGCAAAAATGTATTAGCAATTTTTAATGCACGGGAAGCAATGAACTACATCAAAACTTCTCCACGCGGAAGTTGTAAGGGAGCATGGCTGTAGTACATTAGTTCCAAGACAGGACACAGGCACCTGACAGGAGGATGACCTGCCATTGACAGGAGGATTGACCTGCCAAGATCCCACAGGACCATGAGTCCTACTGGGACACACACAATCGATCAGGACGACAATCCTAAACTTTTTACATTTCAGTTTCATGAGAACGTCAAAGTTCTCATGCCCTAGGACCTGCATTTATAATCAGCCACCACTTTTAAATAAGTGAGTTGCTGGACACTGGTTCCATTTATTTAAAACCACATACTCTGCTCTAAATGGCGTTTTCAAGCCTTTCTATAAGTAGTATAAAGTTTACTCATGCTCTAATATCACTAGTGGAAAAGGACTGAGATCAACAAGAGCGAATTTCCCCCTCCCTTTGGTCTAGAGCAACCAAAGGCTGTATACCTTTCTAGACTTGAAAGAGCCCTGCAAACACAGCCCACCATACTTACTAGGAAAAGATACCGTTCTTGAGCAGACGTATTGCGAGCAGCAAGTTTAAGGATCTGTCCTTCTTTTATCAGTTCATTTGAAGGGTTCACAATGTCTTCCTCTTCTCCTAGCATCTCATATATCTCTAACAATTTCTTTAGGTTCTCCTTTACAGTGAAAATACAGTTATAAAACTTATTAATTAAAAGCACAGATCTTTAAGCATGTTTAAATGAAATGATGGGAGCTCATGTAAGTCTGGAAAATGTTAGCTTTGAAAAACATATATATACCCAGTATATATGGTCAGCCATACAGATCGATTAACTTAGTTGATGCAGTAACAAGTACTTTTAGAAATGTTATCTCCGTGGTAATTTTAAAAATGCAGTTATACACACAGCCTCCATTATTTCTTGTCCAAAACATCTCACACACTTAATGAAGTACCTATCATACCAGCCCACTATGGTAGAGAAACAGTAACTACTCTTTACAAACACTATCCTTCCACTGACAGAAACAGATGAAACAAGGTTAAGAATCCAGCGTAATGTCAGCTATTTGAGCCAGGAGGGGAACCCAGCCTGTCCCATTTTCCACTTGAAGGAATTAGGTGCAATGCCAGATTTTGTCTATCATTCTACAATAAGCAGGACCAATCACTTGGACCCAGGAAACATATTTTTCCCATTTTAGGGAAGATTTGCAATTCACGCTCCTAGCTTCAGCAAATACTCAAATACAGTATATTAAAAAGTGAACGGGAAAAAAAGGATCGTTTACCATTTTTCTTATTGCACTATTTGAGTGACTTGCTGCAGTGGATATAATTTCCAGGGATTCTAGACAGAAGAGAAAGAAAAAAGTAAAACCAAAAAGCTGCATTTTTACATATTTATATATTGCATAGGAAAAAAATGGATCATTCTACAAAATTCATTGTCATTTTAATGTAAATTACACACTACAATATTTCTTAAATTATCAATAAAAAGTAACCAAGCTAAAGTGGAAAGTGTAAGAGAGTCAGCTACTAAATAAAAATTATGATCTGGAAAGATCAGAAGAGAATTATTGCAGATTACTTTAGAGCTTCAGCACTTAGAATCACATTTTTGTGACATGAACAGTCATGGTTCTCTCCTCTCTCTTCTCAAAGTAGTCCAGAATGTTAAACTATGGGTTTTTTAGTTGAAACAGCTCATACTCCAAATGTGTACAGTAATGGTACTAACAATGAAATGTTTCAAAAATTATCCGGCAACTAATATGGAAAAATCTGTGGAAGTATCTTGAAGTACTCTTGTGTAAATACAGAGAGGAATAAATTTTAAAATGTGCTATTCTTTTTCCATACAGGAGCTTAAAAATCTGACGAGTCTAAATCCACTTTTTTACAAATAAAAGACATTGCAAATGTGCATAATGCAAACCAAAATGCTTGCAAAACCAAAGAAAGAAAAACCACTGCAACACCTGATTATCCGCAAAGCAAACAAATCAAAACCTGTGCGCTATTCCAGAACTAAAGCAAACTTGTGTGCTCCGGGAGAAGAATGCTAAAGGCTTTACAGCTTTTATATTAACTTCATCCACTAGTCAAACAGATTTTATTTGAAGAATCCTACCAACTCCACTGAAGAAATTCTGTCATTCTTTTCAGAGGGACTTTGCTTCTTCACTTTATTTTTCCTGAAAATAGCTTTAATTTACAGTATCCTCTTACTAATATCTTATTACAGCTCTTTTAATGGCTAGAAGATATTTACTTTCAGCATCTTTCCAGTCTAGAGAATCCTGAGGCAATTTCCTTAGGTAGTCCTTTAGAAGCATCTCGTAGCGTGGAATGCGTTGTACTGGTTCTAGCATGTGATGTTGCAATGTCAAATTTCCACACACTTTTTCCTTCTAAAAGATTGTAAACATATTTCAATGTAGTAGGCAAAAATGTTATTAGGATATAATAAAATAAAAGTTATGGTTGATAAAACATAAATAATGTAGTTTGAAACATGCACGACAGACCTTCTGCAAGAAAATAGAACTACTGTACTGAACCAAATAATTAGAAATTCTTTCCTGAAAATAATTGTAAAAAGTTTTCTAAGTATCCAGTAGAATTCACAAATAGAAGTCCTACCAAAAAAACCTTCCGAACACCAGTGTATTTTAACTTAATTTTGTAATAACTCAGACAAAAGAATTACAACTGAATTAATAAAAACAGTTCTTAACATATACCTTTATAGCCCATTCATCTACCTGAGGAGTGCTTGCTTTGAATTTCATTGATAATGTAACCTCCCTCAGAAGTGTGTCAAGATGCATATTCATTTCCATAATCTTAGATGCAATTAAAATATGACATTAAAATACACGTATTTGGATTCCCTGGCACAGAATCACAAGACCCCACAGAGCAGTAAAATTTAAGCAGAAGTACCGTATCCTATTTCTAGCTGCTCCGTCTGCAGGACACATACCTGCCAATTCACAGACACCCCTACGGGGAGCACTAGAGGGTATAAAACGCACCTCTGAAAAGAATAGCGCATTGCTTAACTGTTAAGCTTTCTTTACCTTTTGCGGCTCAGCATTTAGGATTATATACTTACTGCCAAAGCGTAGTGCTCTGCATAACAGCACTGATGTGAGCCAACAGAGTACTTAGGGATTCAGTGCAAGGATCTACAGTTGCACTGATATGTCACTTTATCCTAAAACAGTATTTACTTTTGGTATCTATGACAAAACGTAGTGTTTTTTTATTCTTCTCACGTTTCGACCTTTCTACTTTCGTCCTCTATGTTGCACTGGAAAGGCTGCATTCCTGTGGATATTTGTGCACGTGTGAAGGGAGAAGAAGAAGAAACAGAACGCGGTGTGAAGCGGACAAAAACAACCCTTAATTCTACGGGATTTGGTATTTCATTTTCTCTTTAATCCTTTTTTTCACCCACAAACCTATATATTTTTATATATGGCTGTATTACTTGGAGATCTACATTATTCTCCCCATTACCTGAATGTCTTGAATAATGAATTTGAATTGAGGTGACCGTTCAGTCCACGTTTTCACCAATTCCATTGCATTATCAAAATTCTTCACATACTCTCCATACATCTTGAGGAAAGGAGCTAACTTCTGCAGAATATCTCCAATTCTGGGGGTGGTAGTCCTGCAAAGTAAGAGAGTGGAATCTCAGAGCAAACAGGAAAGAAAAAAAAGTCACACAAGGTTATAAAACGGTTTCAAGCATTTAACAGAGATTCCTTGTTCGGGATCGCCTCATATAGAGTTCCAGTGTAACCATTAAAACTGACCTGAGTTAACATGGAAAGATTGTTTGTATCCTCTTTGATCATGTATAAGCATTATGGGTCATGTAGAGCACTAAAGAAAGAAAAGCTATCTATAATGAAAAACCTGAAAGGCTTTTCTTACAAAACATGGCCTAATTTATTGTATTTGCAGTTCCTTAAAACTACATTATCTACTTTTGACCATACTTCACCTTCTAAGTACCTAACCTGTGGTTTTGTTTGAGGACTAAATCCATACTGTACAGCTTCCCTTCTATGCGTCACAAACACGTGTTTAGAACTTCTAAAAATCATTATTTATCTAAGAAAACCTATGAAGTGGAGAGAATCCCTTGGATTCCAGTCTTCTGTGAGAACTTTCCCACATCTTTCCCAGTTATTGATAGCATCTTCAAATAAAACAGAACAGTAAAGAAACTGATGGAGAAGCAGTGAAAAGCTGCGCTGTTGATGCACACAAAGAAAGGGGAACGGCACATACGCACCTCTGAGTAACTACAATACGAAACACGTTTCACATTTCATTTTCAAGGACAGATTCAGAAACTCAGTATCTCTGGATTTCTGAAAGTCTGAAAACAACGTTGTGGCAGTGGTCTAAAGTGAAACAAGTTACTGCAATTACTTCATCAGCCTACTCCAACACACCACTTCTCCAAGGGAAAAGCTGTGCAGAAGGGAGAAGTTATTTGAATAGCGAATATGGCCAGGACCAGCAAAGGCTGGTCCAGCTCCAGCTCCCTCTGAGGGGGCAGAAGGTACCTCTGTACGACCTGGCAGAGGTCTGAGCTACTGCTGTGCCTGGCAACTACAGCGGGGGACAAGACAGGGTGAGAAGTTGGTCTCTGAAATCACCAAGGCTCTCCACCCTTAATTAGCTTTGCGTATTTGTTCAACCACTCTACATGCAAGCAAGCACATACACTTTCAAAGGCAAGCTAGAAGTTTAAAACCAAAACCCATTCCTTTGAGCCACTGAATGCAATTTCCCTGGGTTGTCATTTTATTGCACTGGGGCAGCATAATTTTAAACTGAAAATAAAATGCCAATCATACCAATTCCAACAGAACGAAGGAAATGTGAATATATTTCTAAAGGTCACGAGAAAAAAACCACACACAAAGTTTTCTGGTAAATTTAACAGATAAATAATTATAAAATTTTACAATTAAAAAAAACCCTTAAAGCAGAAAAGACTGTGTCAGTCCTTTTTATCTAAACAAACTGGCACAAAAAAAGAATGCTTCTACTTAACCGTTTCACAGCTATTACTAGACAGACATTAAAAGAAATTGTTGAAACTTTCATAAACCAAGAAGTAGGAACAGTTTGCTATGCCTGCTCCTTGGATACCCACGGTTGCTCATTTACACAGAGCGCTGCAATTTCACTGTCTCTGAAGATTGAAAAATTTCATAACCACTTTTCCTGCAAGGCCCTTATATATCTGAAGACTCTGAGGCTGAAAAACAAATTCATCATCATTTCAGGTGCGAAAGACAAGGTCCACATCACACAAAGAGCTCTGAAAGAACAGGAAGGACAGGGGAAGTTGCAGACAGCAGAACCTTCTGAGAACAGCATCCTCCCTTGATGGACGTGTAAGTATAGACAACTAGTTCATCTCATATTCAAACGCTACTCAACCATGAGCAAAAATATTAAATTCTACTAAATGTCATCAGGTACAGGACAGTTACTGCTGTCTTGGACAGACAGATCAAAAAGAGAACTATCACCACGGACCCAAATCAGCACTGCGTTATTGCCAGACAACAAAGATAGCATCGTTACGTGGGTCAAGAAGCAGGACTTCACATTGTAACATAGGTACAGAAACAATTTGTATTTCCGTGTTGTCAGACCATGATGGTATTCACCTTTGCATTCTAAAAACCCAGACATGAAACAGCTGACTTACTAATCATGATTTGTAGCATCCTATTTAAAACTGTCATGGCTGCAAGAAAACTAAGGAAAGGTCTGTAAAATCACAGCACAGCAAAGGTGACTACAGAACAACTGATTTCTCTTCCAATATACAAGCTAACAGGGATCCAACAAAACTGAAAGTTGCAGTTTCAAAGCAAAACAAATCACACATGTAGGTCAGCTCTATAGTTGCCACAGATGCCAAAATTTTGTGTTGAAAGAGTGAAATAATTTCTTTGCCAATGCCCCCCTCCCCCAGAGGCTATCGTGCTGGGGTCTTATATTCTTCCCCAGGTACCTGCTATTGGTCATCCTCGGGTACAAAAGACAGTTAGATAGGTACTTTGATTGATGTGGGATCACAGTTATGCTGTTATGCTCCTTCCATAGGAAACACACTGCAACAAGGCTGTTTCCAGTGTTTTCAAGCCATATGTTGTAAAAGAGCTGTTGCTCAACTCATTCAAAATGCAACTACCAGGCAATTTCATTTCCACCCAATAAGCTTAGATTCACACTACCTTTTCTTTTAAGAAAGAAGAATCTGCTTCCAATCTACTTTCCCAGCTGCAAAACTATATATTTTTACCTTAAGTTTTCAAAACAAACCACAACTCAGGGAAAGTGTCAGAAGTTTTTATCCAGCTATTTTTGTTGGAAGCTAAACAATAATAGAAGTGCATAAGCCTACGAATAGAACATACTTAAATATTTTCTATGTCCAATTAAGGGAAATGCTGAGGAAAATGAACTCTCTATCTGGCAGAGGCTGTTGTTTCAGAGACTGGTGATAGGGAGTGAAAATTATCCCAGATTTTTCTTTCAGCGATGGTCAGAAATTGTTCTCTTCAACTGCACGCTTTCTTCTAACTCCTCCCAAAAGCATAATGTTTTAAATTTAAACAGGCTTCAGGTACAGCAGAGAGGTTGTTTCCAAGCAATGTGGGAAAGATAATATCCTTAATGATACAATTTATTAGTTTTACACTAGTAGTCAAAGCTCACCTGCAAAAGCACTTTTCAACTTTGAAGCTATGTAATTATACATACATTATTAGTATGCAATTTCGCATTTTGCAAATACATAAGGCAGTGCAGCCCATCTTCTATGCTCTATAAAATGTCTGGAAATTTTAACAAAATTTTAACAGTACACCACAAATTTCATTTCAAATATGTACAGCACTGACATAATGTAGTGTAAGCCGGTTTTTAAACACTGTTGCACTAAGTTTAACTCCTCATGAATATGCCCTCTATTTCAATCCAGACATTCATATTTCCTATCAGATTTTTTCAATTGATCAGAGGAAAAGGGTGGATTTACCTTACATGGTCATTTTGCAAGGAACGTAAGTTAAGGTGTAAACTTTGCTACATTCCATGATGCTTAGGTTTTATTTACTTTCTTGCATTATAGACTATACAGGGCTACCATGTGTTTGTGCATGGTAAATATTCTATTTTAAAGAATCATCATTTTAAAGGGGAATCACCTTATCGAGTCAGGAGATCTATAGGTTGTTGTCTAAAGCACCTCTGTGTGGTCTGAGATTTTGTCATATATGTCACAAGAACATATTAATTCTTATTTTTTAGCATGATTTTTGACAATTAAGGTGTTATATGAAAATGTAACTGGAAATTATATCTGGACAAACACTAGAATTCCTCGCATTAAATCCTAGATAACAGGCAATACAGCAACCAAACAGGTGCTGAGGTGAAACAACTGGATGAAACAATATTCATAAATTTTTACTGGGTTTATTTTGGTTTTTGTTTGTTTGTTTGTTTGTTTTAATTTCTAACAAGGTGTCCCCATTTCCCAAATAAGTTAGAGAAGCAGCAAGGGTTTGGGACTTCCCTTCCCCATTACATGAGAGACCAAGAATACGTGGCTATATTTTAATATCTCCAGTATAATATACACCAAGGGAGGAGAAAGATCCTGCAGTCACATATGATTATCACAGAGTATATTTACACCTCAGCTATCCTTCTTGCTTGCTCCAGATAGAGGTCCTATCAAGAAAAGCTGAGGAAAACCAACCCAGAAAACCAAACACATACCCCACCTTATTACAGAAAGCAATAATGACAAAGGTTACTGTGCTACAAGGGTCGCACAAAACACATACATGTTATTTATCACAATTTTGTATTCTGTGCAAGGAATTAATCAGGTAGCACAATTTCAGTCTGAACCTCTAATTCAGCAAGGCATTAATCATGAGTAATCTCACTGGCTTCAGAGAGATACATGTCCTTTATGTTGAGCAAAGGATGCAAGTCATCTACTGAGTCAGATCCTGATGAAGCGTGGAAGAGCAGATGTTCTCCTACCCACAGTACTTCCTGGGCCTGGAGTGCTTAATTATGAAGGTACCTTCCCTACCTCAACCCTGTGCCATAGTTTCTACAGACACGGTTTTAGTAGGATATTAACCAGTGAATCGCCTCTTACCATTCTTGCATTCTTTTCTCAAGTTCTGGAAGTAAGAATTTACTGTGGAAAGCATTTATCGATGAAATGTTAGAAAAAATTTTGTTAATCACTTCAGCTGGAAATGAACCTCTGTTGGCTTCCTCGAGGAGTCTGGAATAGAATACCTGCAATACAGAAAAAGAGCCCCAAACCTATCAGCCAATTATCTTCAATCAGTGGAAGACCACCTATCCACCCCTCCTACTCCAACTGAGGCTAGATTAATATTTCAATAATATAGACAGGTAATGACAAACTCATTTATTGTCTTTCCCTCACCAGAAGTTAAAAGCTTCTCCTTCCCTTACAGCCCACTTTTTTCCTTGTGAGCCAGGAAAACACTGCAGGCAGAGCAGACATAAGGAAAGCCAAACTGAAGTAGTGCCATTTTGGACCGACTCCAGGCATCCTGTCTGTTTTAGCAGCTAGATCATCTCAGCTCTCCCCGTCTTCCAGTCGTATTTTCCACTCTTGCTTTCTTTTTAATTAACATGATGTCTGATCACCACTAGCCCAACCTCTCTCTTTGTATGCTGTATCCCCCTATTCTTTTGAAATCACAGCAGTTGGCAGACTGTGAGCAGTCCCCACATCCCATTTAAAGCACAAAAGGATCCCAGTTCTGACTGGACTCTACTGTAGTATCTTTAAAAAAATGTATTAGTTCCCCATCAGTGGGCTCTACCTAACTAGATGCAGCTACAAAATGCATGCAGGTGTTATTGTGCACATCACATAAAACAGTGCTTATGGGGAGCTACGGTCCCTCTATCTCCCTCTCCCATGCTTCAACAGACTGCTTCTCCCTAGAAGGGGCTTTCAGAAGATCGTGAAAGAAGAAAAGAGTCTGAAGACAGGAACTTTGGTAATGCCAACTGAGATAGCAAAAGTGTCTTAAAAGGAAAAAAGCCGTACACTTTCACCTATACTTTAAAACATGCTCACTTTGCTGCATCCCTGAGAGGACAGTTAGTTAATTTTGGACAAGTTACTTTGAAGACTACACAAGTCACCTAACTTTTTAACCAAGTTTGGAAACGTAACAGTCCCTTCCCAGTCTTCTGTTTCCCTCTCAGCAGCAGCAGTTGAGCAGCTGTGCTTGACATTCATTTTTCAGAATTCTGTCCAGATAGTATTTGGAAAACAGGCATAGGAGTGATGCATTTAGGATCACATCAAGGAAAATAATTGTATGTTACCTATCAGAAAAACCTATGAATGAAGTAAACATTTTCCTTTTTTATTTTTAAACTTCTCTAAGTCAAAGCTCTTCTTTTGGCAATACTTTGTGTTTTAAAACATACATCATACCCATCCCAATGTGGGTCAGTTAGATAAATCCACTTTCATGATGACGATTACTTAGATGCCCAAGCAATCTGAGTAAGTATTACATCAGTTGAGGCTTTTTGCTTTTTCCTCAATGCTGTGTACAATACTTACGAATAAGACATGAGAAATTTCAACAGTGATGCCTGAGAAAAGTATCATGGAGTAAGGCAATGCATAGCTATAGGTATCTAGGTAAAATGGATGTAGGTGTTACATGAGAAAGTAAACAATGTTTAAAAAGGAATATACTCAAGAACTACTGACTTCCATGTTTAAGAAATATCAGTTTGATTCTACAGAGCACAAGAATTCAATCCTTGAATTCATGTTCATTTCAGTGGGACTTAGTCTAAATGTATAGTGGGAAAACAGGGCATATACAGTTTAGAATGGGCATCTTCCTAAGGTTCCTTGGCACTAAAGAAAAAAATCTTTTCAGGTAGCCCTAATTTGAAAAATTTAGTAATTCTCTAGTGAGCAGGCGATTTCAGTATTATAAAATGATGTCCTTCTTGTCTGCATCACCAGAAGCCAAGAAATGAGTGTTAGGTTATGCATCACCTTTGTTGCAAGGGCTACCAGTATGAGGTTTGCACTACTATTGCTTATGGTGACATCTAGACACACAGAACCAACTGTGTTAATATACACAAAATTCTAATACTTTTTAAAATGTAGTGTTCTTATAACAGAAACACAGGCAAAGTTATGTGGCAAATGACTGACTGGAGAAGTCAGTAAAATGGGAAAAACATACCACCTTTTATGTAATTTATATAGACACTTATGCATAGCTGTTCAAGGGAATTCAAGGCAAGACAATCAAAACAAATTCAAGAAAAATGCACCCCATCTAGGAGGTCAAGTCGGCTGACGTAGGCTTTTTCTGTTTGTAGAAGTTCACTGGCAATTTTGTGACGTTTCTGTTCATCCGTCTCCTGGAGGAAAATAAGAAGAGCTCTTAGGATACTGGAAGAAACATAATTTAATACTAAAAAAAAGTTGAAAAAAACATACGATTACTTTGTAGTCCAAAAAGCAACTGAAATCCAAGCTTCACATTTAATAACAGACACCACATTTACAAACTTTCTAGCAGTTTAATCAACAAATACAAAAGTCCCAAGATGACGAAAATCAAACTGCTCAGTAAAACTCAAAGCCTAAAACATTTAGTATTTCTCAGTTTGTACAGGGATCTTTGCCAGAGCACCAACTCCCTACTCAACAGATCAGCTCATATCCTGGTAATTGAGTACCACTGACCTTTCAGAGCTGGAAGAGCTGATTTGCAGAGTACGAGGGAACAGATGGGATAAGTTGGTGTTCGCCCCCGCCCCCGTTTCAAAAGTTATTTGAACTGCATGTTCTTTGCACAACAGAATTATTGAAAAATACCGTACAAAATGTTTTATGTTCATCGATACACTCATTGCTGATTAATTGTTGACTGCAATTAGAGAAATCCTTCGCTAGGTCTTTACGGAAGTCACTTTTGCATCTCAAGAGAAGTTTTCACTTTAAAGTCTTTCATTCCACAAAATATATTTTTGGTTCTTCTGCAGAATGGAAGCTTAAAACGTTCACTCAATTTTCAATATTAAACTAAATATTTTAGAATATAAAATTATGAGTTGCTATGAGAAGTTACTTCAAAACAAACAATGAAAGCACAGCCTTCTATGATATTAAAACATTAGGGAAATGCCTCAGGCTCACAAGTGTCAGATTCAACAAAATGACACTTTCATTGTAAGATTTTTTCTTCCAGATCTAATGCCAGTGCTGAAAAGTGTTCACATATAACGACATCTGAGTCTTTCTAAGTAAACAGCAGTCTTGTGCTTAGGGGAAAGTGGTAATTTTCCAGAAAAACCGTAGAACGACTTCATCAAGAAATAAAGAGGAGAGCTTGAAAGAGTTATTTCTGATTTCAAACAGCACACGGCTCTCCACAAGAGTACAATAAACGTTTGCAAATGCGTTTATAAAGATGGTTTGCAGAATACTGAAAAAAGTGTACAACCTTTTCATTTGAAGGACTTCAGTGGCTTTTTTCCCCTTTTAAGTATGCCACATTTGAACACATTTCAATTCTAATCTGCAGTGTTAACAGTCACACTGCTACACGGCAAGCCTCCTCCCTAAACACAGGCTTTCAAGAGTGACTTCAAAGCTGTTCATTAAATCTGTTTAAATCAGCATAGCAACCACAGTAACCTGCAGAACAGCATTTTAAGTGCTGTCAAGAGACTTCGCAGGGAGCTGGAGGATTAGCTATTACAGCTGCAGCACACCGTTTAGTGCGGCCATTCACAAGGGATCTTACATGTGGGCTTGAGGCACAAAACCATGGAGGCTGCTGGTTCCTCAGCAATTTTATTTTATTTTTTTCTCTCTCCAAAACCCCGCTTTCTCCCTGAAGCACTGCTATAGAACCAATCTGCACGTGTCAGACTACTTGAACTAATTGAGAGAGGGGAAAAAAATCACATGTAACAGATGCAAAAATATGACACAAAATGAACAATTCAGAAAAAGCATTTAATCCTCACTCCTCAATCACGGCAAATGCCTCTTACTCTCCCACTATACTCTGACCCCAGCTTTCCCATCCTCTCAGTATCAACCCTACACATCCTCCTAATTCTTGAACCTCAGCCTCCTTTCTACATTAATTGCACGACCCAACACAGCAATCTCCTATTTGGGAAAAAAATACGCACCACGGATGAGCTATCTTTTAATCACAGTGGCATGTTCTTATTCCAGCATAAGAACATCAACCTACAGGGTTATACCAGTGCAAGGATAAAATAGTATCACTAGTTTTCTTTTAGGGAAGTCCTCAGTTTCCCACCTCACCATCTCAGTGTTTGCCCACATGTTACACAAACTCCCAGGTGTGTTTTCTCTGCTAGCTCCATCCTCCTCACTACTCATTCACCCACCTCAGTGTTTTATCTAATATCCCACCCAAAGAAAAGCACCTGGTTTCCATGAGGTCACTCCAGCTTCCTTCCTGTCGGAAACAACAGGTCACTGGCTATTTTGCTAGTCGTGGCATCTGTCTCCCGAGGAGCTTTTCTGGGTGGAAGTGGCAGCCACGTGTCCTGAGCACATGGGATGAACTGGGTCCGGACGCACAGGTGGACGCGTGGGTCCTGGCAGCGCCGCGCCGCAAGGCGCATTCGGGGGAAAGACTCACCATTGCATGAAGCCAGTGCTGCAGCTGGCGTAGATGCGTGTGTGTGTGTACATATATATATATATATTTATTTCCTGCTTTCAGGGAATTCAGTGGCCGCCACCCCAGCTCTGCCGCGGCAGGCACCACGCTGCGCTGCGCCCCTACCCCCAGCTGCCCACCCAGCCCTCCCTGAAGCAGCATGCAGGCAGCGGCCGAGCGATGGGCTCAGGGCAGGCAGAGCCCAAGAAGGGGCTGCGCTTTTGCAGACCCGAATTGGGCTATTCCAGCTAGCATGAAAGCAACTCTTACAACACAGTTTGGAAATGAATCGTGAATAATGTTCTGTGACAATAAGAATGACACAGAGCCATTTGTTATTAGAGCTGTTCAACAAAACAGCCTTGAAAAACCTCATACAGATAATGGAGGAAAACTTCTACAAGAAAAAACTTTAAAAACCATGGAAAACATGATGTTAGTATTCAACTTCTGAGAACTTCAATGCTTCCCTAAAGAACTACTGTAGCAAATCTAATCATTAACAGTAAAAGGGAATTTTAATTCTCTTAAGTTACAAGTTAAGCTTTATTTTCACAGGATATAACCATAAATGCACATATATCTTTTCACAAGTAAGATAATAAGATAATAGAAATGAAAGATATGGACACATGTTTTTCTGGGAAAGTTTTATATTTTCCTCCCATGATTTCTTTATGCTTTTAGTACACCAGTATTTATATTGGGTTCCTTACCATTAACAAAAAACACCGAGAAAAAAATTTACTACAGGGTCTGTCAGGACACATACTCTATCGCTTCAAACACAATTTCTCAATGATTTCAGGGAACTTTTCAAACTTCTGTAACAATCCATAACACATGGCAACTCAACATATAAAAACAATCAGTAATGGTTCGTGTGATATATAGTGTTCACATTAGAGGTCAGGATTTCCACTGATGATGAAAATATCAGAACTGTGAGGTAACATTATGTTCCTGATGTCTACTTCAAAGCAGAATGCATCCACGCTAAAAATGTTTAGGCAGCTTTTTTAAGCACTTAAGCAATTTGAAAGAATGAACCTCTATTCTCTTCCAACTAAAGACGAAAGTTGAATAAAGCATTAGTATTGATTCTATGGCTGCAGCTGAACCAAATTCTTGGTTCTACCCGTCTTGCACAAAGTAACCTTTGAAAACTCCAATTTTAGACAATTTTTAGTTACATATCTTTAAGCTACAAGTGTATAATATTTGACAAGGTGCCTAACTATTCCAAATATTATAACTTTTTTTCTTCCATTAAATAGTTCATATGCTAAACATGGGTATATAAACACAAAACAAATTTATTGCTTAGCAAAGACAAGATACAAAAGTAATTTAGGTCAGTTGTTACCATCATCTTTAATGACCCAAACCAGATTTTTTTTTTTTGGTTGAATAATTAATTTTAAATACCTTGATCAGACCATACTTTCCATTCTATCCAAACATTTGGCAAAGTTCATGAGGAAGGACTGCAAACTTCTATCTGTATATAGGATGCTTACAGTAAGTATTTCACCTGGGCTTAGTTATATATTTTTTAGTACAAAGTTGCACATCCTTAGAGTCATTACGATACTATGGGTGCTTAAGAAATTAAAGCAAGTAATTTTGACTTATATTGTTCTTGAGCTCTGAAGTTAAGATGAGGTATGAAAAATGCTACTGAGAGTATGAACTCTTTGCAGCTATGTTCACATTTCCTAACATTGTTTTTCCATTGTCCTAAACTTGCAAAAGTTACACTAATTTAAAGCAGACTTTACATAAAACTAAATCCCAGTATAGCCATCTCCCATCAAGCAAACTATACCTACCAACCTGACAGTGATGCTGTATATGATTCACCCCTATTTAGGTGTAGCCCTTGCCCCAAGGGCTTTGCACTAATATATTAAGCAACAGAGAGAAGGTAAGAGATGTAGAATATGAACAAATACCATTCAATCTATGTTGTGGGTTTTTGTTTGTAATGCCGAGTTTGTTCTAAAGTAACAGAGTGGGGTTTTCTTTTCTAAAACCATTCATGCCATAGCTGCTTCATGATCCAAAGCTTTCCAAGTGTTGGGAATATAAATGTAAATTTCCATGAGAATTTAAGATTTCCTTTAATCTCTTGAGTCCTCAGCTTCTCAAATCAAGGAATGCACTAAATTTTGTAAGACCTGAAAGGAAAATCCTGAATGCTACCATCACCTTCTGGCATACTAATTCTACGCAACAGTCCACTGCACAAACGATGGGTGAGTTTCTTGCACAGCAACCAAGAAATGCAGTCAAGATCCTGGTATCCCTGAAGAGGCGATTCTTCTCAAGAGGATTTACGCATTTCTATTGGGTGCTGAAGACATACAGCTTTGTTCCGCATTTACTGTTGCTAAAGATGAACATAAAGTTGTAGAACGAGGAGCAAGCTGGTAGAACCTCTCTTTCTCAAGTGTTGCAACAATAAATGTTTCTTGGCAGAAAGTTAACTTCGCAATGAAGTTTCACCGTATTTAAATCAAAACTTCACCTTACATTTAGAAATGTGTGGCCTCCACCAGGTTTTGCATCTGAAGTACCTGAGGCCACATCATTGCCATTAAAAGGAGACAGCAAGTAAGGACTTTAATAAAGATGCATAATGGATTCTTCCCCATCTGTGGCACGCATGCACGCAGTCTAAATCCATATATTCCACCAGTCTCTCAATAAATACCAAAGCATTTGTCGTCTTGTCTTCAGTTAGCTCTAGCAGCAGATTTCTCACAAGATGTTATTCAGGAAGTTAATTGATTGGGATGTTCCTGTACTATTCAGCCTCCGTGTTTTAGGGAAACCAAATTTTATGACAGAAGGTGCTTCTGCTGCAAGGCAGGGAACTTTTCACTTTTAATTGTCTTTTTGCTTGTGCTATTTGCGGTTTGTGACTTTCAAACTAATTCAGTAAATAAGAGAAATAAAGCATACTCTACCCTGGTCATTTGGGGAAAATGTTTCAGAACATTGACAAATTTATTAAGTCTTGTCTCAACTTTTCCAGAACCTGCAATAATCATTAGTCAGATCTACAGTGGTAAGGGGAAAAAATAATTGTAAGAGCAACATTACTTTAAAATAAGCTTTCTTCTTCAAGTCTAAAAAGCAGTAATTTCTGCTTGGGTTTTGCACCATTTCCCAAGTTAATTCACCCCTTCCAGCAGTGGACTTAGTTTACTTCTCCTGTACATGTATGCATTTGCAAAGAGATAACACCACTTTCCTCCTTGAATTAGGACATATGGCATGCAAGAGATAAAGAAGATACTTTACAGCAGTATCAAAATATATATATGTATCAGATGCATAATTTAAAGTTTGTCTATGACTCACATGCATCTGCTCCTATTGCTTTTACTCAATTTTACCTACACTTGCTTAATTAAAAAGGGTGAAAGAGTGCTGTTAGTCAGTGTGGTGCAACGTCAACTGGACTGCATCCCAGTTTTAAGATCCTTTCCTAACTGGGTGCTTAGCAAAATCACAGACTGTCAAAATGCTCTTGCTTCTTCCCAATATCTGCTTGGACACAGTAACAGCTCAAAGCTCTACCAGGCCTCTCCTGTTCCTCTCACCACCTTCCCCCTATTCCAGACAGCACGGCAGCAGCTATTTAGATCTCCACAGGGCTGATTTCAATCTACAGATTGCATTAACACCAACTACATCATTGTTTGATTTCATAAAGTGTGACTCTTAGATCGATCTGTGGTAGACAGGCTTCTTAATCTCACTAGACCAAAGGGAACGTCCTTGTTCTGCAAGTGAGCTGGTACCTCGGGAAGTGCTGCCGTGTCCCAGTTGAGATTTACAGACTCAGCTCTCCACTGATGCTAACTTTAGAGTTATCCTGCATGGGTTTGGTTTCTTTTGTTTTCTTACCCTTCTAGCAGTAGCAAACAATACCTCTAGTAACAGTTATGTTACAGCTCACCATTTGACTCTTATAGGGCAGATCAGACGCGTCGGTCACCCAGCAGCTGAAAGGCAGATTTGGATGAGATTGCTGCCATTAGCATTTGCCCAGTTCCTTCCTGGATTTTACAACAGGACTGCCTCCCGTTTCTGCTTTTTCCTGAAAATGCTGCCAGCGCCTTACTGCGTGACTTGGATTCAAGCTTAACAGGGCTGCCCACGGAGCACTCAGCACTTTATTGGCACCGAGAGGGGAAACAGGCATTACCAAACAGGAGACGAACACATAATGAGAGGTGTGGCAGGTTAAAGGTGCCTTGGAGCGTCACCAGGCTTATCTTTAGATGTGAATCATAACGGTCATTCATTACGGGCAAAAACAACCCCCAAAACAAAGAAGAAAACCCCCACGACCCGGCACCTTCTTGTCATTACCTACAACATTTTAGCTGTAATACAGGAGAATTTGGGACCCACCTTCCCCCCTCCCCCCCGCCAGAATTTACCCTCAAGCATGGATGTATGTGAACCCTACCTGACCATACCTAAGGGCTTGGAAAAGGCTACAGTTAACTAATTATTCCTGCAAGCAGCAAAGAGCTTTATCAGCGCTCACCTGCTTGGCTCTGCGGTGAAGAGGAAGGCCGGGAGAGTCCAGCCCAGCCGCCCTGCCACGATTCACACGTAGCACGGCTGGACCAGAACTGCTAATGATGTTCACTGCCCACCAGTGCTTCAGTGCAAGAAGGCAAACTGCATTATCAAACTTTTAGAAGCAGAAATATGCACAATTTTTCAGCAATTAGTTTTCCTGAGACCGATTTTCTTCCACCCACTTATATCCCTTAATTATTTAACATCTTCCTTATGAGGAAGCTCAAACTCATCATGGTATAAGTTCTCCTTGCTAACAAGGCATATGTTTAGTATACTCTGAACCTTGCATCTGATAGCTAGCAGACTGCCACTGCCTTTCCAGCTTTGACTTGACAGTTCTGCATGAAACCCTGCTGCTGCAGTTTACCACACATAGTATTTTATTTTATATACACCCCTAACATGTGTCCCTGGTAGTCTGGCACAGCTGAAGCACAGTGCTAACCACGTACACATATTTCAGTTTCACTTTTTTTAAACCTCAGATAGATAATGGGAAAAAGGAAAGGCGGCGGGGGGAGAAAGAAGCGGGAAAAAGGAAAGGGGGAAGGAAAGGGAGGGGAAGGAAAGAAGCGGAGGAAATGCAAGCAAAGCCTTTTTTTCCTGTCTTATATTCAGAGGAAAAATAACCAAAAGATTTTCAACTTTCTGACCTGCTCCTGGAAGCTTATTTTTGTAAATAAAAAACTAGAGAAAATACACACAGTTGTAATATAACAAGAACAAAACAATTTCTCTTTTTACCTTTGCTTCTACAGGTTGATCTTGCTTACTGATTTCCTCAGTTGGTTCTTCTTTCACATTAGTATTAATTTCTAGAGTTTCATTTTCAGATGGGAGCAGTGTATCACTGCTTGGAGTCCTGTAGCAGCTGTTAAGCATCTGCCCTTCACAGGCAGTCACACTTTGCAATGACTCTCTGGATGTACTTTCCCCATTTATCAAGCTGCTGTTGATGGCATTATCCAGAACCGGGGTGGACGTAGTGGAGCCATGATCATGTAATCTCCTGTCCTCATCTTCCATCTGGTCTTGTGCTGCTACTCCGTTGGTTGTATGTAGCTGTGCAACCTGAGTTTTGTTGGTATTACTGTTTCCCTGGTTTTGTAGTGGGTGCTGGGAGGGGAGTTTTGGCTGAGGTGATGGTGTTGACCCATATCTTCCTTGAGATTTAGGAATGTGGAGAACAGAGGAGTCTTTCTTCAAATCACTAGGATTTAATGGGCTAGAAACACCAAACAAACAAAACAGATGAGAGAAAAATTAAACATGGCATTACAGAAAATCCCTGGTATGGGGAGTAGGAGAGTTGCACCATACGACCAATTCCTCCCAAACCATTTTTTCCCGTGTTAATATTAGGAAGTTCAGGCCACTGAGACTTGAACTGCATTATTCCATTGAAACACACACAAACATGCATCTCTTACTGGGAACCCAGAGTGCCATCCATATTGATTCACTACATCCTCATCTCTCTTGAATCTCAGTTGTAAAATGGAAGGCAGTATGATCAGCCGCAGTAACAGATAAGGGAACTGAGGCACTGATACATGAAGCAATTTGCCCAAAGTGTCCCAGAAGATTATCGATGGAAATGGAGAAAGACTCAGGGTCTCCCAAGTCCCAGTCCAATGCTTAAACTAACAAGCAGCCTGTTCCCTAATTGCCCTTTAATTGTACAAAATGAATGAGAAACATCCAAGAACATTTAGCATCCCTTTCCCTAGTTCAGCATATGGCAAGGGGAGCTTTAAATTCTTAGCCCATTTCTTCCCCCAGTTTCCTTACTTAGCAGCGTCCTTTCATCATGCTGCACCTCTTCTAAAGGTTTTTTCCCTTCATATTTTATCTCCACTTTAAACATATGTTATCCCTTGTTCATAACTTTCACTATCTCTTTCTGTTTCCTTTTCGAGGTTCTAGATTTTAGGATAATATAAATGGTAGCCTACTCTGCAATTCATTATAGTTTAAAACTAAAAATAAAAATCCTTGGAACCAAAATAAAATCTATACATTTTTGTCTGAAGTACATTTAACAAGCTATATTCAAATTGCAAAACAATACCATGACTGTCCTCTAACATATTGCTCCTAGTATGGACTATTAATCGTCTGGAAAGATGAAGACTGATTATAAACTGTATGTTTACTCCATATTTATAGGACAGTTTACACAAATATTGTAAACATATTCTGCACTTTCATAAACAGAGCTAAATAATATCTTATACTAGCTTAATCTTCTCCCATTGTGTAACAAAAAAAAATCTAAATCAGTTTTCCTTTAGTTATGTAAAGATTATGCCTTTTTAAAAAAATAAGCTTAAGTCTAAGATAGAATTAATTTACATTTTTCAATTGCATGCACACAGCAATGAGGTTTAATTAACTTTTTGCCATGCCTACATGTTTGTGGGCTGTGCAGACTAATGAAAATACGTTATCGTAATTGACGATCACAGTTTGCAGTTCATGAACATGCTACCTTTGAAGACCAATAATCACAAGTGAATTTCACCTTCATGGAAGACACATTTTGAGAGCTGAGCTCATTTAAAAAAAACAGGAATTGCTTCCACAGCCACAGCAGGATATTCCAGAATTTGGCATGCTAATTATGAAAATTTCTCAAAAGCAGAGTCGAGGAGAATTTAATCACTGGACAGATATTACTGGGTGTACTTAATGAATTATGTTGGCCAAAAAGCAACTCCGCTTCCCCTAGTCCCCAAAACAAGATGTCCCAATTTTTAAAATTCTACAAATAAGAACGTTTTCATTGCTGTCTCTCTTTAGCTTCCTTTAATTGCATAATACTAAAAGAGTTTCTGTACAAACCAGCAGGCATGTCTAGGAGGAAGAAAGGTAGGGCTCATTGGTGGAGGGCACAATGAACCCAAGGATTTTCCTTCCAGAAAGGACAAAATCGCTTTTCTAAGGATACCACACTGTTAAAAAGACTTGGATGATGGTTTGGAGGAAGACTGGGAAACAAAGTGATAACAGGACTGGAGACCTGACTGAGAAGAATGCACAGGACCTCCAGTGCTGCAGTAATTTCTTTTTCCCATCTTTTGGAAGCTGTCATGACAACAGTACAATTAAGTCTCTGCCTAATGACCCAAGTTTCTTGTAGATGAAGCTCTGAAATTATTTCTATTCCACTAGACAAACATACTTTTGCAATGCTCAGCTGCTTCTGTATAAAGGATTAAATTTCCCCCATCTTGGGGGGGAATTCTTTCCATGAAAGTCTTAATACTGGCTCCTCAGAAGGACACGCTCTGTTGTACATTATGCATTCATTTCGTTCCCGTAGGGAGCATCCCTTCAGAACATCAGCATCCCGAGGAAACACAAGAAAGCCACATCCAAAACTTGCAACGCTCAGCTGTCACTGGACTGTTTCTTGAACTGCTCCTGTGTCAAGGGCTTTCTAGAAGGTCACTCTCTTTATACAGAGCAGATATATTCTGAACTTCTGTTTCAGAGCTTATAATGCTTGTCACGTACATCCAACTAAAGACACACAAGTAACAGTGTTTTATGAAGTTCACTGTGGTTTGTGTTTCTCAAAGTTCCGAATGTTTCCTTTAAAAGGCAGTATCAAAACTCAAAAACAGCAAGATATTTCACCGAAATCACCAAGTACTACAAAGCAAACAGTTTAGTGAATGTATGCCATATCAATACCAATGACTCATACAGTTCACCTCTTCACGTGAATGATCTGAAAAGGTTAAGTCAGTATAAAAGAAAAATTAGGATTTTGGGTTTTTCTGTTTGCTTATAAAAGTAAATATTTTTCCTGCAAGAACAAAAAGAACTTAAGATTAGCACCAATGTTTCATTCTAAGAATCAGCACTTATTTCAAATTGCTGACATTTTTCATGATGTTTTAAAAATGCCACAAGTTTGTCCTGTTTGTTTGGATTTTTCTGAAGAAAAATTAACACTTAGCACCTTATGAAAAAGCACACATTGTACAGGCAATATATACAATTGGCATGCATCATTTCAAAACACACAGTTTTGCCGTAAGCTCCTCTGGCAGGGATCGGTCTAAGCACTACCATGGTACCAATATTCTTCCTCACAGGTTCAAGTTCCAACAGTCCACACACAACAAGAGTTAACAACCAATTAAAATTCTATTACATACCTGCATCCCTCAAAACGATTGATGAGATCTGACACTTTACTCGACTTTTCCTTTGTGACACTAGAAACAGGGGTAGGTGTCTCTTCCTCCATTCTTGGTTTCTGTGATAAAGCTTTATGCCTAGAGGTTTGGTATGTAACAGGTGACACCTTCTGCAGATGAATTGGCTTTGGAGGCACTGCAAACAACAACAACCACCATTTGCTCGTGAATAATTTCTTTAAACTGCCAGAACATACATGAGATTTTTGCATAAGAACTTACTACTAATGAAGAAGAGATGCTCTTGGTTTTACTTAACCTTAAAGTTGCTTTATGAATACAAGGACTTCATATAGGGTTTTTTATGCACTGTCTGGTATCGGGCATCTTGTTATATTTCACAGAATCATTAAGGTTGGAAAAGACCTTTAAGATCACCAACTCCAACTATCAACAATGCATAAGAAATGCAAAATGTCCATCTCCTACTTTTCCAGCTCTTTACTTTTCAGAGCAGACCTTGATACTTTATACATGATACTTTAACAAGACAGAAAATTAGGGGGTTTTCTTGTTCAGTTGTTTTTTATAGTGCACTGTAATAAACACATATGTGGCCTCCATAAATGCAGGTTTTATCATAAAAAAGAATTAAGCATAATCAATTAACTTAGCTGTGCTGTGGAGCTCAAGAGAGAGATTTCAATTGCTGCCCCAAAACTCTTGTGTTCTCATTCTTTACCTTCTCCCTCATGACCCCAATAACACTAGTCAGTGGAAAAGGTATTTGCGTCAGCTTTGAGCTTCCTTTACTCACTGAACCTTTGTCTACTTATACTGCTGAAAACCTGGCCCCCTAAAAATATTTTTTATTCTTCTTGTTCTTTCCCCACCCCTACCATAAGTCCTTCTAATTAGATTGTTAATGATCAGCAGTGACTAGAACACAGAAGACAAGGCGACACATAAAGCAAATAAGTCATACGGGCTGGGGATCTTTAACTTTTATCCTTTTAAGCAACTATGCAGCAGTTGCAGGCAACAAGAACACTTCACAGACAGGGCCCAGATGTGTTCCACTATCACAGCAATGCACCTCTGGCTCTACCAAAAAGAGAAACTTAATGAAAAGGTCCTTAACTCTCAAGAACACAACTCTCCGCATTCCCCCCCGATACCCAAAACGTATTGTGGGGACAAGTGAAAGCGTTTGATAGGAAATTGGAAAATAAAGATTATATCTGTCCTTTAATAAAGGGCAGGCATAAATTGGCAGGAGTAGGCGATGCACTGCCAGTGGAACTGGTGGCCACAGGGGCTCGGCCACCACTCCACAGGCACCACGCTCCGGTGTAGCAGAGGCACCGGCCCTCCAGTAACTACACTGGAGACCTGCCAGGGAGCACACATGAAGGGCAGGAGGAACTGGCGTTAGGAATCACGTGCAACTCTCACGGCAGAAAAATAATACTAGTACAGGATACATAATAAATGGATGTGAAAAAGCCATGTTTGCTCCTCACATCATTGACTCTAGAATAGCTTATTGACTTGCCCTGGAAAACCTGTGCACCACAGGAATTAGCTTAAACCCCATCAACTGACATTCGAGAGTGTTGCTGAAAAAATTCTTGCAAATATACATAAACCTGAAGGAACACTTAACTGAGGGTGACTTTCTGTCTCTACCCTAGGTAAAATTTATAGGAGGTAATATTTATCTGTGCTTCCAGTAACCTAATTGCACTTAAGTGGGATTGTAGTGGTCCCTGCAGTCTGAAAAGTACCATGAGGGACTCTATGAAGAAATGAACGTACCACAAAAAGCTTTAGACTTCAACCATATCAACTACAAATGCTGATAACTGGAATAATCAGAGGGAGAAGAGAATTACTGTAGTTCGGGTTCTTTTACCGCGTGTATCTTTGCTCCTTTCAAGCTTTATTTTATATTCATTAATACAAACAAAAAGGCAAGGTTGGGGAAGGATGCAGTGCAGAAAGGACGACTTAAAATCCTGCAACTTTCAAATAATTACAACGCAATCCTGAAACAAGCAGAATATTAAATTGTGTAACTGCTTGAGTACGTGTGGTCGCTGACGCCCCTCCTGAGGAGCCGCATCCATTTGCTCAGCCGCAGCTGCAGTGCGGTGGAGCGGCTTTCCCTCTATTCCCTCTTCTCAGGCAGTTTGGACAAGGTCTGGCAGAATTAGGCCAACAAGCATCAGATAATTGTCCAAGCGCTGAATAGCTTGCCGCGCTGACAAAGGCGATGGGACAGCTGGAAAAGGCGAGACAAGTGGGCTGGGAAAAAGCAGGACACATAATCGAATGCTGGCACTGCCATTCCCCTGGGGACGAGACAGAAGGGAAGAGGGATGCCGGGTGGATTTACTGACCAGCACGACGTTAGTTTGTAGAAACACTTCTTGCTCTTGCAATGGATTGTGTATAACCCACGGTCCTGTGAATTCTATTTAATGGACTTGTACATCTCTTCAGTTCTTTTGTACCTCTCATAAAATGTTAATATCCTCACAAGGATATATTAAATATATTAACAATAATTAAATATATTAAAACTACTAAACTTGAGGGAATTAATGTCCACTGATAAAGCAGAAGGAAATAGTTGGAAGCTATTTTTATACTGGATCCACTGGGACAAAAATCAAATTCTAGGATATTCTGTGGAGGTGTCGCACGCTTTTGCAGCTATTACTATGAAGGGAAAAAAAAAAGCATAGCAGCACTTCAGTAGGGCAAGCACAAGGAACCTATGGTCAAACTGAACAGTCCCAATATATTGAAAATCCCTGTAATGTCTTCAGAGGAAAACCACAAATCAGCCACACCAATTCACTGATGCAAGATATTTCTTCTTTACTCCCTATTATCCTCTAACAGAGAGCATTTCCCTAATCAGCTGCTGCTGTGCTACTGTAAGTTTTAGAAATAGAGCAATAGGAAAGGACAGTCACGAGATCAATGAAAAGAAAAGAATCAGTAGTGTGAAAAAACACCCACAAACCTTCCTGTAAGGTCAGCCTTGTTAACAGGGATTATGGAAAACAAATTCCATTAATTCTCCCCTCAATGTACTTCTGAAGTGTTTTGTTTTAATCAGATTATTTTTCAATGTGCACAGAGCAAGGATCTTAAAGAAAAAAAAAAGGAGAAAAGACTGGCCCATTGTAATACCCTGCATAATACAGAGCTCTGTCTGAGTCTATAAATACTCTTGTCTCCATACTGTAGAATTTTGAGCTCATTAGGAAATATGAGCTGCATATTCTGCCCAAAGAAAACGCCTTAGTATACTCAGGTAGCTGCTACTGTGTAACACTTGCCAAAATACCCCATGGCGATTGAAGCTGCAGTGCCCAGTTGTGCATTCAACTTTGTACATAAACGTAAGGAAACGGGAGGTAATGCTACAAGTGCCTCAAACAGATGCAACCACCTTTGCCGACTCCGAAGCACATTTGCAAAGGTCATTTATCTCTTCTCTTGGGAAGTATAGCGTTCAGTCTCTCTCTATGCATTTAACTCCTGCTGGTTAAAAATGCTACTACAGTTTTAGTCAATGAGAATACACAGTTAAAAGTTCCCGTGGTGAGCAACTACAGCTCTCCTGGCTGAGTCATCTTTCATCACCTCCTTGCATGCTCCATCGCCTTCAGGAAGATCAAACGAGCACAGCTGGATTTACACTCACAAGAACAGTACAAAATAACTAGTAACCTAGGATCAGCAGCAGGAGAAAGTCATCTCCTCCTTGGGATGTACATTTCCACGTTTTTATATCACATCAGAACAAGTATCTTCAAATACTATATTGAGAGAGAAGACCAATAACAAACAGGTGTGCTTTGTTCTCTCATTTGTCTTCTTCCTGGAGATGTTTGGGACTTAGCAGTTTGGTTGATAAGCAAGACATTGCTACAGGTTTCTTAAAGCACCACTGAGACTGGAGAAGTCTAGTTAGAAAGAGCTCTCATTTTTAGTTCAATTCACCTTTAATTGTAGAAGTTTCACTTGCCAGAAAAGTACAGTCTACATCCCAGACCTTTAAGAGGTCTTTCAGCTTTTCTGAGTCCAGGCCACTGAATACCTTCAAAACCACAGACTGTATTATAAGTAACTGAGAAAGGAGGACAGGATGGATGCTGTATAGTAGCTAGTCAGCTAAAATTGACTGCTTAAGTCTATGTGTTGAATGCTTTGTGTCTATACCATTTCAAGGTAGCACAAACTAGGCCATCTTCTGGAGTGGAAAATCATCTCCAACCCAAACAAAAATGCCTCTTCAGCCTCAGCAGGAGATTCACGAGTACTCCTAAGCACTCATTAGAAAAATTTAAATGAGCAACTGATGCACAGTCTTGAACTGACAAAACACTTCACTGCTTTGAAGAAGTGTTGACATTTCAAAGTATTTTCAGTCCTACAATAAAACTGCCTGGTACAAACAACAGTTTCAGTGCCCAGTATTTAGTAACTGGGTACCATATAAAACTCATGTAAGAGGTTCAAAGAGCAGGAAATAGAAGAAACTAGAAAAAAATAGTCAACTTGTACATGTTACTCTACGTGCATCCTGCTATTGCTAGGTTCAGATAGCTGCCCAAATATTTGTAGGTAAGGACAAATCTCAGTTTATCTAATAATTTAATTCATCACTCGTGCATCATATTTGCCTTGGAAGTCAGTAGCATATTTTGCTGTTTCCATGGACTACTCCAGCCTGGATTAGGCCACTTTATCAGAGAATGCACTGTATTGATGCAAAGGCGAAGCACCGTGTTTCACAGCTGGTACAGACTGCAACTGCTTTTCTCTGCAGTCCTGATTTCTTTGCTCAACTTCCTCACCAGCCCTCAGCCAGTTTCAAGCCTTGTTCCAAATTTGCCAAGATTTTCACGAATCAAACTGTACTCAACACAGAAATCTGACATATGAATTGCTAAATTGTTGATGGAAGGAATTATGGGGGAGAAAAAAAAAATCTCTTCTATTGTTAGTGTATCAGACAGCTAGTTTGTTTTCTCCTTGAAATGTCAGGGGGGAAAAAAATGGAAATGAGAAGAAACAATTTTATATTAGATTATGTGCAGAAATTTATTCACTTGATCTAGCTACTCTGAGTGATCTGTTTCCAAATATTTAAACTACTTCTCAGAGA